GCCCGGGTCCCTGGCTCGCCCTTTGCCCCCGGGAGTCGTCTCCCCCCACCCTCCCATTCCTCGCGGGAGCTGGTCGCCACCTGTCACAGAGCCCGGGCTGTTCTAGGGCTGCTGCTATGCCGCAATCCTGGGGCTTCGGGGAAGGGGTTTGTGAAAGCCGGGCCAGTGTCCGCCCATTGGATCCGAGAGCTGCTCGCTGAGCCAGGCGTTGCTGGGCACCAAGGAGAATGGGGGGTTGCAGGGACAGCCAAGGCAGTAGACAAGTCCATGGTGGATGGGTTCCTCCGTGCTTGGTAGCCAGGGGATGAGGGATCCTGACTTTGCTGCAGCTGGGAGGGGAAGTGGGGTTGGATCAATCCAGCTGCTTGTTCTATGCACTGCCCTTGAACCTCTGGTACTGGGCTGTGTGGGAGACCAGCTGTTGGGCTAGATGGACCGTTAGTTTGCCTGAATGCTAGTTCTCATTGCCGCCAGCCACCTGGGCTCAGGATGATGAATAGATGTGAATGCCAAGATTTCTAGGTGTGAAGTAACAGTCTGGGTGAGATCACTGTTGCCTTGCCTGCTGAATGTCTTTGGAGTTGAGTACCTGCTAGTGGAAGAGAAATGGGGTGTGAGTTCTCAAACAGTTATCTGCATGTGAGTCACAGGCTTTGAGTCTAGGACAGAACTAAAACCAGTGGGGCTTGCTGGTAAAGTTAGGGGTTCTTAGCTGTGCTGGGTTTTACCCAGTTCTGTGATCTTTTGCATAAGAATGTGGGTGGCGAGGAATAGCTTTGGTGGCATCATCAGCTGGATTCTTAGAACGACTGTGTTCATCTTTGAGGTACGGATATCTCAGTGTGAGGGCTGTTTAAGGATGTGTATTGAGCTTTCAGAGCATGGGAGCAGTGAACGAAGTCCCTTGTGCAGCTTTCCTGTCCATGACTGAAATACTGAAGAGCCTGGGGCATCTGCTGGCCCCAAGCTCCATGCAGCGCTTCCACTGTGAAATGTACAAGAGCCCAGCAGGGACTCCTGTACATTTCAAGGGTGGAATGCTGCTGCTGTGCCCCTCCCATGGAGCTGGAGGGAACTGACCCTTAAGCAGGCTCCTCCCTGCACCCCCTCTGCTCCTCCTCCCCCACTGCCTTTTTCTGACTAGTCACTTACATCCCTACTCTGTACCGTGTGCAGGATGCAGGAGTTAAGGGTTTCTTCTTCGATTTTCCTCCTCTTTCCTGTGACCCACTGTCGCAGCCTGGGCCACATTCACATGACACTGTAAAAAAGGTTACAACTGATTCCAGGTGGTGAAGGGATGTGGAGCAAGGCAAATGGGAATGGCACTGGTGCGGCAAATGCAGAGGGGTCGTGTTCAGGAGGAGATGGCAGGAAATCCATGGTAGTCATGGTTTGGCGATGTGGGGCAAATCTAGGAGTCCCTTCCAGGTATAACTCCTGTTCCACACATTTGTTAAGCCCTCTGGAGGGCTTTGAGCTTTCTATAATCGATGGGTGGGGTGAGGGTCCCCAAGGGCCTTGTATGCCAACCCAAGTTAAACCATTGGCTCTCATTTAAAAACAGATTGATTTTCCCAACAAAGTTACTTTTAATAAGTTAACATTGAAAGTGTGTGCCAGTGGACTTCAGCTAAATACCTTCCTTCCAGAAAAAAACTGGCCAAAATGTGGCACCGTTGGAAAAACCAAAAATTTAAAAATTCTGGAACTTGTTAACTGATTCTCCCCTCTCCCCTCCCCCACACATACATGTTTTACACTACCCACCCACCATTTTTAACTGTGTCTCTAAAACTAGCGAAAATATATGCGCAAAGGTCAAAATGACAATTGTCTAGGAATTCATAGAATCCTGTTTCTTATTCAGACTCTATTTCCATTGCATAGCAGAGACATAGTGCAACAGCACTCGCTACAAAACTTGCATTGTTAGTTGCTACACGTTATATTAATGGAGTTCAAATACATACTTGCAAGCTGTACCCACAATTACATAAACCTTCAACATCATACAGTCATCCAATCTTATGATGCCATGGGTTTATCATTATGTTTCCACTCTATTCCACCAATACATCACACTAAGAATAAGTATGGAACTTGGATGTATTAATGTACCTGAGACTCTGGCTCTGAAATATTTACTACCTATTGAATAAACATAGATGTAGCAGCTGATTTCCACTGGAGAAGAAAACAACTTATGAGTACTCGTGGGTACCTGGTGTAAATTGTGTTCGATAGTAGTGAGTCATCACAGAAGACTGGAGAAGTGGATCCCTTAAATGTTAACTTCCCAGATGTTTGGCTTGTTCAGATGTGTGGGATTTTTATAAAGAGGGTGTCATTTTGGGGTTAGTAGCTGGACTCCCAAGCACACATTCCTTTTTTCCAACAAAGGAGCTAAAGTTGAAAGTCCTTATTTGGGATTTAATATTAATAGGAAACGTTTGGTCTCAAGCCTTACCTAAGTCTTGTAAATGCTTTCTGCAGTTGTCAGTATTGGTTCAGATACGACACACTCTGCAGTCCCGAGCACCCTAGTAGAATCATAGAATCCTAGGGCTGAAAGAGACCTCAGGAAGTCATCGAGTCCAGCTGCCTTCCCAAAGCAGGACCAACGGTAACTAAATCAACCCAGCCAGGGCTTTGACAAGGTGGGACTTAAAAATATCTAGGAATGGAGATTCTACCCCCTCCCCAGGGAACCCATCCCAGTGCTTCACTACCCTCCTAGTGAAAGAGTTTTTCCTAATATTCAACCTAGATCTCCTGCCTAGTGTAGATAACAATTATTCCAGAATAACATAGTCCATGTGTACACTACAAGCAGTTATTTCGACATAATGTCGAGCTGGAGGACTTTTTACTCCAACTCTTATAACCCTCATTTTATGAGGAGTAAGGGAAGTCAGAAGAGTAGTGCTGTTCCTTGGACTTCCTGCTAGTATATAGTGCCAAAAGCCAAATTAGGCTATTTTGACTTAACCTACGCAGTTATCGTAGCTGAAGTTGACTAGCTTATTTCAGCTTTAGCCCTGCTGTGTAGACATGCCCCAAGAGATGTTATCTTTATAAATGTCCAATTCTTTTTTGAGCCTTGATAAATTCTTGTCTTAAACAATATCCTGTGGCAGTGGGTTCCACAGCGGATGTGGGAAAAGGTCATTCCTGTTGTCCATTTTGAATTTGGCACCTTCTGATGTGTTTGAATGTCCCCTTGCTCTAATGTGAGAGCTTGGTCAGGAAGGTTGGTGTCCCTGTGAATGTAATTGAAAGACCAGAGAAGCAGGAAGCTCTGAAACAAATTTCTTCATAAATTGGAGGGTAGGAGCTACCAGGCAGAGTTGTGTGCTCTGATATTAGATGCCTAATGTGCATAGTGGTTCCTCTGATGTCTGTAGAGATGAATCTTAATTGTCCTGAGCCTAGTTTTTCCTTTCCTGGAAGAAGCAGATTCTCACTTCTGGAATTGGTCACTGGAAGGGCTGTTCTTGGCATGGCAGCTTTTAGAGAAATGTGAATTGTGCTCGTAGAAAGTCTTGCGACACATTAGACGTGCTGCATTCTTCTAGGCCTTGTATACAGACTATTGCTGTGTTTGAATGTAGTAGTGACAAACTGTTAGCTGGCAATTTTTTCCTGGACTACCTTGTCAGCTAATTCAATTATTCAGACTCCTGTTTGGATAGTCACTGTGTGACATGTAGACGGGTTCTAGAGGTAGCCAAGTAAAATAAATCCCAATGGGTCAGTGCCTTGCTGTCAGCAGGAGTGTAGTAACGACCTTGGAAGGCCATTGGAAAATCTAGCAGCTTATGACCTTGAAAGTTGCTATTATTTATACTGGTCACTGTTTCCTTTCTACTTCCATATTTTTCATGCTTACACATTTGTGGAAAATTCTTATTTCCTAAATTTTACGTGTTGATCTCTACCTAAAAGTGGTTTTTTCATAAATTGAAGCAACTTATTCAGTTGATCTTGAAACATATTTTTCCTGTGTTAAGAAAATCTAGCCACTTTTAAAAAGAGCTGTATGAAAAATGGCTGAAGATTTAAACTGGTCATACACGTCGTCCTCCTTGAGAAGTAAAAAATGACAATTTGTGCACGTCAGGAGGCGTTATGGCAAGTTCATGGTTAGTTAGGTTTATGCACGATTGGTTCCAGGAGCTTATGATGTGGCTTGTGAAGTCTGCACAGATTGGAAATGTTGCCAGCTTAGTAGCTGTGGATAAAATTAATGTCCAAGCTTTGTAAGATTAAAGGGAAAGTGTGGTAATGTAATGTTAACAGCATTCCACTGTTGTTCATGAGTTACATTTGAGTATTTTCTCTTTCACTCTGGTGAAATATCTTAAGTTCCTAGAAGTGCAGACTATGAAAAACATACTGTATTAATTATGTGTCCAAGTTAGCATTTGCATTTCCTGATAGTATCTTGTGCAACTGTGGTATGGCATGAATACCATGTTTTGCATTTAATATATTTCAAATTCAATATGGAACGTATCTATTATGTTTAATTCACAGGATATTGGTTGACCTTCCCAAACACCCTCTTGTCTCTGTTTTTCTCTCGTCTCCATTCACCTCTGTTGCACAGTCAGGCCTCTCCAGATGCAGCTAAAGTTTCAACAAGTGATTGTAGTGTGAAAATCTGGCCTCAGCGTCCCTAGAGGTCATTAGCACATGTTGCTTCCCTTGACTTCAACTGTAAAATTGTGCTAGTACAGCATGTAATGGGGGACACAGGCAGAAACCAGACAGGTGAAGGGGATCACCAGGCACAGTTCTGAATAACTGAATTCTCATGCCCTGACCTTGAGCAAGTTGATTGAATTAATCAAGTTGGTCTCTCCCTCCATCCCTATGCCCCAACAGCAAACTTTCTGAGTTAACAGTGACTGCCCTGCCAGGGCGACAAGCTCCTTGTCTCTCTGCTGTGGACTGCCCCTCTGAGATGAAGGAAGTTCCTGCAGTCCCCTTATGTGGGACTATAGCTGTTTGTCTCACCAGAATGAGGGAAATTGCCATTTAGTCCTAACAATCGTCCCCCTTCACTCTAGGCCAGGGGTCTTTAACCTTTCTAAGCACAAGATCCCTTTTCGAGTTTGTCAATCCAGGATCTACCTCAAACCCAAATACCCTTGTTCCAACTTCTTTCCCACTCCGTCTCCAAGGCCCCGCCCTGCTCACTCTGGAGATGGGGTACAAGGGTGGGGGGAGAGGGATACCCTGACATAGTGGTCCCACTCTTTTGCCTCCCCCCATCCTGCACTGCAAGCAGGAGGCTCTCGTAGGGGCAGGAGCAGCATGGCTATTGGGGAAGGAGCACCTGAAGTACTAACACTTGGTAACCTCTTGGCCAAGCCAGTCAGGATCTCCTGTCAGAGGCTCCAGGGTCTACTGGTGGATCCTGATCTACTGGTTGGTGATCACTGCTCTCGACAGTAGGGATGTAAAAGGTTAACCAGTAAGTCTCATACTTAATGGGTGAGGCCTACCAGTTGCAATTAACTGCTAGAAGTTGCAATTAACTTACCTACCAGTTGCAATTAACTGCCCCCCGGCGGTAGGGACTGCCAGCTCTGGAGACTTCACTGCGGGCTCTGCAGTATAAAACAATTTTTAGCAGTTACATGGTTACATTTTAAAATGTATTTTCACATCCCTACTAGCAAGCAAATGGTCTGGTAGCACTTCATAGACTAACAAAACACATCCCTAGTAGACAGTGTCATTTTTGTCTTCTGTTTGGAGTTGTTTTCATGCGGCTTTAGGCTGGGGTAATCCACAGCGTCCAGCATCAGTGTCTGTAGGGAGTGTGCCGAGTTCTTGCTTGTAATGACCTTTGCTTGCAGTACTCAAGTCTGCTGTAGAGAAGGTAGCCTGGGGTTTGGTCCAGCCTGCTGCAAGCAAGCAGTAACTGTTCACTCACCAGCACCAGTTCCTGCAGTGAGGGAGTTTCTAAGGTTTCCCACCATTGCTGTGGCCAGTGGTAGCCATATGATGGGCTAGTGGAAGCAGAGCACAGATTAGCATGACAATAGTTCAGATGCCAGTGACTTTTGGTGCGCAGCCCGCGTGTGCATGCTTATTGAGATCACTCATCTGACCTCACTAGGGTTGTCAATAGTGGGGGCCGATAGGCAAGCGTTCTGGTGAAGACCAGGTCCTTTTTGCTGATCGAGCTTAGTAACTTCTCCTTGCCTTGGGTCTCAGGCACCAATTGCTGTCTCAAGACATGGCTACGCACGAACTGAGCTTGACGCAAGTTACTGTGGCGTGCAGCGACCCACGTTTGTGTGTTGCTCGTGCGAGTGCAGACTTGGCTGTTTGTATCTGCTCTGTACATGCTCCCAGGAGTGTTTGTGTTGCTGCAAAGTATGATGCATGGGAGGTAGGGACCGTAGCCTGCCACATGTCGCAGTCTGGAGTGTAGTCCCTTTTGGGAACTTTTTGCAGTGTGGGGGGAGTAGAAATGAGTTAGACAAGTACCCTGGAGAGCTGGGAGGGGGTCACTTTTCTCCATCCCAGAATGCCATCCATTGCCTATTGTTTGTCTTTTAAAAAAAAAAAAATCCCACCAACTCACACAGCACTTCCAGGGTCTGCCCTGCCTGATCAAAGCATGGAGCCCACAGAGCTCAGTGCTTGTCTCATGAACGTTGCAAACACAGGAGGCAGGATTCTCCCACAGCTGCAGACCTGCAGGAGGCACTGCAGCAATGGGGGACGTGAGGATTTCTTCAAGGACAGTTTGCTAAGGAAGGTAGCAGAAATCAATTCAGGCTTGTGGGTGGCATTCACAGAGCAGCTGCAGACAGCAGAGCATCGCTTCTGGGCCCAAGCAAAAAGCACAGACCATTGGGATCGCATCGTACTGCAGGTTTGGGAAGATGAGCAGGGCCTGCAGCGCTTTGGGAGGCGAAAGGCTGCAGTGGTGGGATCTGTGCGCTGAACCGGCCCCAGATCGAGAGCTGCATTGACTGGCAGGCGAGAGTGGTGATTGTATTCTGGAAACAGTGCTGGATTTCCACCAGAGAGTGGGAAATCAGTTTGGAGTTGGAAAATCCACAGCGGAGGCCATGAAGGGGCTCCTGCTGCTCAGGACTTCCTCTTCCCGTGGCGAGGTAGGGAGGGATTCCCAAGCTGGGGGCGGGCGATAGACCACACTCGTATCCCTAGTGTGGCACAAGCTGGGGGCGGGCGATAGACCACACTCGTATCCCTAGTGTGGCACAAGCTGGGGGCGGGCGATAGACCACACTCGTATCCCTAGTGTGGCACAAGCTGGGGGCGGGCGATAGACCACACTCGTATCCCTAGTGTGGCACAAGCTGGGGGCGGGCGATAGACCACACTCGTATCCCTAGTGTGGCACAAGCTGGGGGCGGGCGATAGACCACACTCGTATCCCTAGTGTGGCACAAGCTGGGGGCGGGCGATAGACCACACTCGTATCCCTAGTGTGGCACAAGCTGGGGGCGGGCGATAGACCACACTCGTATCCCTAGTGTGGCACAAGCTGGGGGCGGGCGATAGACCACACTCGTATCCCTAGTGTGGCACAAGCTGGGGGCGGGCGATAGACCACACTCGTATCCCTAGTGTGGCACAAGCTGGGGGCGGGCGATAGACCACACTCGTATCCCTAGTGTGGCACAAGCTGGGGGCGGGCGATAGACCACACTCGTATCCCTAGTGTGGCACAAGCTGGGGGCGGGCGATAGACCACACTCGTATCCCTAGTGTGGCACAAGCTGGGGGCGGGCGATAGACCACACTCGTATCCCTAGTGTGGCACAAGCTGGGGGTGGGCGATAGACCACACTCGTGTCCCTAGTATGGCACAAGCCACTTGCAACAGAGACATCAACAGAAAGGGTTCATTTCCTGTGCTTTAGCAAGCTTGGTCAGTCACCAGGGACACTTCACCGATGCCGGAGTGAGCTGGTCTGGCAGGTGTGTGATGCTCAGAAAGCTGCCAGCAGGGGCCTTCTTTCCCACCTGGTGCCTTGCCCGGGGCAGTGTTGAAGTGCCAGTAGTGAGTTTGCGGGACTGCTCTTTGCTCCCTGGCTCACGATGCTTACACTGGCCACCTCAAGGCCACGAAGGAACACTCCACCGGCACGGCAGATGCAGTGCCTGTTGGATATGCTGGAGGGGCATGGAAGGAATGCAGGGGTTTAGTCACTAGATTAGAGAAATATCCTAATGGTTATAGTCGGCCTTTGTCTGGCCTGAACGCTGAGGCAAAGGGGGAAAAGCTGTGTGTCCGCTGAACAGCGAGGAGGGGGGGGGTCTGGACAGCGCCGCAGCAGTGTTCTGTTCTGTTCTGCTCGGGCATTTGTTATTTATAAATAGGACTGGCAGTTTGCCAGGCCCCGTGTGCTCTGCGTGTGCAGTGTGAAGGCATAAAGATAATCTCATTCTCAAAACCCAGAAACACACTGAATGGCACGATCGGCCACTCTGGAAACAGCTGGCCTGGGGAAACAGACGCTGGTCATAAATTAACGGGATGGAGCTTTGAGATTGCAAAGGCAGCAAACATTTCTGTACATCGGAGTGCACGAATGCAGTTGATTGTGGCTACACGGACGTATATGGGGAGGCAGTTTGGTTCAGTAGCTTTCAGCACCCCTGCTACGGGGGCCTCTGCTGAGTCTGGTATGCAGCTCATTGTGAAAACAGCAAGTCTGTGGCTCAGTTGTTGGCCTCCCAGGCCGGAGTTTTCAGAAATACTCATTGCTTGCAGGGGAACTGTGCTGCAGCCCTGCTCACGCCCGGCATGTGCAAGCGCAGTTAGTGTGACAACAGTATGGACAAACTGTGCCAGAAGTCCCCCTTATGCAACACTCTGAACAGTACCGTATTCAACATCGGGGGCCAGGATGGGCATTTGAACACATATTCCCAAGACCGAATAACGTAGCAGTTCCATTTTCCGCTGTTGCATGATGGGAGGTGGGATTTCAGACTTAGTGCAGTTGATTCTTTTTAGCACAAAATAATTCACTGGGGGTGTTGGGCTCTCCAATAAATGTCAGATTTACTTGACTTTAATTGCTATGCCGTAAAACGTTACTGTGTATTGACAATTCTTTGTGTTTTGTTTAAAAAATTGTGTTCCTCAGGCAACTTGTTGCAGCGATGGAATATTCCCTTAAAACTACAGATGAGCAGACAAATGGCTAGCTCTGGTGTACCTGGGGGCAAAGGCGATAGTTCTGTTTTTGTCCTTATTGTGGGCTTGTCAACCTTAGGAGCAGGTGCATATGTAAGTAGAAAGGCAGTCCACAGAAGGAGCTGCAACACAGCTCCTGTTAAATGATTGCTTTCTTGCCTCCTTTGCTTCTTACTGCTGCTCTTCTTTCCCACTTTGGAAAACTTCATAGGACTCTAACGTTCAAACGGAACTGGCCGCAAATTAACCACTGTTTTCTCTCGTCATTTCAGTTACCTTTTGTCTTTCCTAGAAAACCATCATTATCTGTCTATTGTGATTAACCACAGCTGTCTGTTTTCTTGTATGTGATAATTAGCACATGGTTCTGATGGTTTATCCTTTGAACAACCAACTTAATCAGGCCGTTGATTGCCAAATTTCATTTTTAATTTCCAAGTTGAAGTTTTGTATTTGTCCTCGTCAGATATTTGTAAACTTTTTACCTCCCCTTATGTAACTGAAGAAGCCAGGCTGAGGTGGTAAATGGCGTTCCGTGGCACCATGAATTCAGGAAATAAATAGCTTCTAGTAATAGGTTCCATTTAAAGGAATATGAATCTACCCTTTTGAAGTTCTGTTTCGTACAGAAAAGCACTGTCTATCTACAGCTGATAGTCCTGATTTAAAACTCTAAATGCTCAGTGTGCCTTTTGCCCTGATTTTAACATAGTGCCATGGCAGGCTCTTTGGGAAATAGGATTTTTATGTATCTTTTTAAAATTTGGGGTGAAAATGTGCTTGACATACTTTGGCTCTCTGATGTGCCCTGCCACCCTCCTCCCCAGTCCATTTCAGAGATGCCTGCTCTCCCTGCCTGACCAACGTGATCTGACCTTTGTCACGAAATGGAGCACCTAAATGAGGAAATGTCAGACATGATTCCACCCCCTCAAATTTTGGAAGATATAAGTCTGCCACTTAAGAGCTTTCTGAATGTGAAGAGCTTCCTTAGGGACTAGAGCCACGCGTTAAATTGTGTAAACCTCTTGGAGGGCTTCCCTAGCAAAGAAATTCTGTGGTAAAGTTGTTAGAGAAAAGGGCTGAGAACAGCAAGACCCATGTTCTAATACGGAAAAACCATGGACTTGGTGTGTGTGGTCTGGGGCTAAGCTGCTTTGCCTGCCTAGTCTCCTTTCCTGTTAGAAAACTTCAGCCCAAATCAGAATCCAACAAAGTGAGTCCTTTGTGTGAACTGATCTTCCTGAGGAATATGCCCATACCAAAGGGAAGAGGTTTTCATTGTATTTAAGTCCTGAAATGATAAATACACTTTGGCCACGTTTCTTTTGACCAACAAGGTAACTGGAAATGAATCCTGCTTGGCCAAGAGCTTTATGATGAAGTGTCCGTATTAATATTCAGTACTCTTTCCTTCTCTTTTCTTTCATTGCCTGTCTTCGCCTACAGTTTTGCAGTGTCATCATCTAAGACCCCCTTCTAGATCTCTAACGTCTACAGGTGTTCCTGGGAAAGATGGCAACAACCTAGTGTACTACTTAATTGTAGGAGGAACAGTCACTGGGGCAGGAGCTTATGTAAGATGCTTGAACTAAATGTTATGGAGTGGATGGGTGGGGGATACCATGGCATGATTAATACAATTTTTGTGACTCTCAAATGTCTAATACTAACTTAACTAAATCAAATGAAAAGTGTCCTCTCTGGGCTTTTCGTTAAAGGGACATTGTCAAATGGCGTACAATCATAGAATCATAGAATAATAGGACTGGAAGGGACCTCAAGAGGTCATCGAGTCCAGCCCCCCGCCCTCAAGGCAGGACCAACTCCAAATGTGATCTGTCCCCCCCTCCCCGCTCCAGTTCAGGGGT